CAAATGAATCAAGAGGGAACTGTTGGGAGCAATGACTGAATTATTAAGGTGTCGAATATTAGTTTTTGTTTATAATCATAAAAATGGCTATAAGTGAATTTAAGCAGCAAATTGCTATGATATTGTCCAAAGAAATGGTCATAATGGAAGTTTATTAACTGCATTTTCAAGACCCAATAAACTTAGCCTATACAATCTTTTGATTTATCCAGTAGACATAAAAGCAACCTTTTAATGCGTAAATTTCAGCATTCTGCCTTCCCTAAAATAAAATAATCACTTAATGTCACTGTTATACTAAAGCGATAAATACTAACAAACATCTGTTATCATTGTAGCAATATTATTGGTTAGACAATAATCGGATTTTCAATTTTATCAAACTGACTTAAGCCAACAGAATTAACTAATGATTATCACCTTATGGATGACGTTCAAATCATTTTAACTAGATTAGAATACGAGAAAAACCAGTTAAACCAATGGTTTTCAATTAGGATGACTCACTAAAATCTGATAACATAATCATCGTCATTTTGTAAAATATAGATAAATGGGAGCTAATCTAAACAACAAATCATTTATTGATTACTTATTTGTCGTAGGGGGAATCCGGTAACACGTGAATCCAACGAAAATACAGTTAAGAAAACATACTCATTTAGGATAATGAATGGAAAAAAGCACCTAAATATATGATCAAGTGAATAGACCCAGGGTGGATGATTAGTATAAAAAGCTTGTTTATTAAAGTGATTTTTCCTAATACATCAGCTCGTAACAATGCGGAAGGCGGCAGATATAACCCTTTTGAGTACAATCTAACGAAAATTCTTGATTAAACTTTGAATTATATTTCTATAACTTTTCCAACTACAGTTCCTGCTATTTTTTTTTAATAAAATCCTTAATCGATAATGTTTTAAAGCTGCATGTTGTCTTTCATAACCTCTCCTTGCAATTTAAAAAAAATGATGCTTTCTACCGATCTTATCGATCAGTTTCTATATTTTTTCTTGCTGTTATCACGAAAAACAGTACAACTGTGTGTAGATAACTAAAGGTTATTTTCGAGCTGGTATATGCAAAGGACAAGACTTTTAATTAATTATCATTTTAATTACGTATAATAAAAAGCGCAAGACTAGTATCAATCCGTCCTCACTTTAGGCATAAACACATAAATGCATAATACTTGTAAAAAATATTATCCCTTATGAGCAACATATGGTACACTGAGTCAGTTTCTATCAAGACTGATTTACAACAAAATCAACTGAATACTAAGATAACTAAAAATATTGAAAGTAATAGTTTTAGTCAATAATTCGAGTGCTATTCTGCTGTTTCTTTTTCACATTAACCAGATTTTACTTATTGTGAATAAATTAATCAATCAACTAAGTTCACTGAGTTGAGTTCACAATTACTCCGTAGTTGTGTGTTTGAAAAAAAGGGTCAATGAACAATAAAATATGCATAAACAATACAATATACAACGATTATTGCATAATTAGGTGATGATGGTTTGATCAAAATATCTTATTAATTATCAATCACTTTTAAATTGAATGTTCACTAGATTTGTTAAATTATTGGTATTCAACAAAATTATTTATATTCTTGGTGCAAAACCATAACTAGGGTTTTAAGTATGGCTATGAAATTTTATGTTATGTATGAAAAAAAGAGAATGCATCCATCAACAATTCTCTACGCAAGATACTCAGTGTCTGTTGGCCGGATGCTGTCACCAACAACCTTCTATGGTAGAGAACGAACCAACTCCCAGCTGAAGAGGAAATTAATAAAAGACGCTGGAAGTGGATAGAAAACGTATTGCGGAAATCATCAGACTGCATCACGTGTCAAGCCTTACCTTGGAATCTTGACGGCAACAGAAAAAGAGCCAGAGTGAGGAACACATTGCGTCGGAAATTCATAGGAGACATCAAAATAACGAATAACAATAAGAAACAACTGGAAAGGAGAACCCAGGACAGAGTTTGTTAGAGAATCCTGATGGGCGGCCTATGCTTATCCACGAAAGTTAACAGGCAGGCGATGAAAAATGAACTTCCCTATCAAATACAAAGTTGATTTGTTCCACCCCACTAATGTTAGGAGCAAACCAGTAGAGCTATTCAAAGAGCAGTTAAATAAATAGCTACAACAAAATATTACGAACATACAGTTAGAATTTTAGTTCTAGTTTATTGAAACAGTTCTGTCTTTGGGGCAGGCTAGCTTATATGTAAGAACAACTACTTAGTATGAATTAACTAAACTCCTCTAAAAAGTCATATGGTTATCTTGATGTCAAAATATGTTCTGACTAAAGCTTGAATCTTGAGGATAACCTAAAGTGCGAATTCATTCAGTGAACAACAAGCGACTGACATAATATTCACTTCAATGACGTAATGACAAGTTATATGGTCTTAACAGAACTTTCAGTATAAACCAAGGTAGGCTAAATATAGACAAGTTACACCTATATGATCCTCGCTAGCTTATTTCTGATCCACTGAAGTTAGTAAAACGTTTTACGAAAATTGGATTATACCCGTCACTATGTGAATTAATTCCAGAAATCAAAAGTTAATCACTAGAAGTTAGTGTTTGAAGTGAAAGTATTGATATCAATCATTTAAAACCGGAAGAAACAATCTCGATAGCATATGTTCAGAAAGAACCTTAGGACAAATAATTTAATACATAATTAAGTTTTAGACCGAATATGTACTAATTATAAAGTAAGTTTAAGTAAGTTACAAAAGTGAGAAGATTTCTACTAACCAACTAAATACGAAGTTGATAGGCATGTCAGGAAATCATAGACACTAATGACTGACGGATTCACTTTCTGCGTAAAAGTTGCAAAAGTTCAGAATCAACGCGGAATTGAAAACTAGGTGATGTTGAGAAGTTTATGACTCGCATTATGTTATCAAGTGTAGATGGTGGTAAAAACCAGAGGAAATTGTAAGGTAAAACTACAGATAACCACTATTACGATATTTGATGTTCAAGTAATTTCACTGAAGAGGAAACAATCAAATAAGGCAAATAAAACGAAAGAGTGATTTTAAAGGATATTAAAATGCTGAATTAGCAAAACGGTAGTTCAATTCTCGTAAAATAGATCATCTATGATTTTAACATCACTTTCTTTGGAAATAAATCTTTATTAATTACTCTCACACTTTCATTTTGTAGTCAGTAATTGTAACCCATTTTCTTCTTTTCTTTTCTCAGCACTACTACTACGGCTACTAATAATAACCATAACAATAATGATAGTGTATTTATTCAATATTATATATTCAGTACAAAATTAAATTTTCCGCATATTCAACTCCATCCAAAGATGGAGTTAGAAAAATGAGACAGTATGCGTTGTACTTAAGATTCCTTTAGGAATCTATGGTAAAAGGTGAAAGATTTATCCCCAGGTGAAGCGATACCAGAGTACGACCTACAGCAACATGATGTTATGCCAACTCAGAATATGATATTTATAGAATTAGTTGACATAAACACTTCTTGAAATTATATGAATCGAAAACTTCCCTGATTGAAAAAAACACAATCTCATTTAGCCAATCACATTATCTATCAATAAAACAAATAAATCTTGAAATTTAATGCTTTATCTATCTAAACTAACTTGGAGTAATCTAGCTGGTAATGATAATCGTGTTTAATTCATAATTATGATAGATTTCTGATGATGGATAGATGTTTGAATAAGATCATTCATCAAGTGAATTATTCAATCTTTTAGATTACAATTAATGAGTTATTAAACTCTTATTATTCTATACGTAAATTGTGTGGATTTATATTTTTCAGTGATATTGTGTTCACCTATATAACTTTTGCTGTCACTTAAGACATTATGATCTACATAAAAATCCATATGATACTATTAGTGTTGTTAACAATAAAAAAGAAGACTTAGCAATGGAATTCATTTTGTAGCAAAGAATATTGATTCTAAAGTACGGTGTGAAACAAGTATTTGACAGTGAATTGTGTTTATTCAAATGTCATCATCCTTATATACAGATTGATAAAAGTCATTTGGCTAATCAATGAGAAAGAATAAATGTAAAGTATTAGATGAAAATAACTTTCTCTTGAAAATGAGATATGTTAACAAATTCATTTGCAATTAGTATGATTTGCACAATCTATGAGACAAACAGTTATATCGTAACCATGAATGGTAAAAGATGATAGACAGAAAATTCGCAATTTAAGCGTAGTGGATCTGTCGGATAAAGTTGACTGGAGCATTAGACGATATGAGATTAGATTTTACAAGAAGTATAATTTTTCACATGGTGACAAACCTGCCTGTTCGATGACAGTAACATGATCTTTCAAAAAATCAGAAGAATGTTTATTCACTGTACAACATAAAATAACTCCACCTGGAGTCCCTCCGGGGGCTACTGCCGGTCCCAAGCCTGGATAAAGGAGGAGGGTTGGGCATGGGGTTAGCGTCCCCATCCTGTAGAAAACTAACTCGCTAAAAAACGCTAACCAGAAAAAAATAATTCAAGCCTTTCAAACTCTGCCCTGCGAGTCAGAAGGTCTTCATTTAGAAGACAACATCAAATACCATACACCTTTTTTAGTCTAGTAACCACTATGTTACTTAGGCATTGCATAGAAAATCGTAGCAGGAATTCAACTACTGTCATTTTGATTGTTTCATCGTAACTCCTTAATTCTTTTGTGTTAACTGGAAATTTAGCACTAAGTAGAACTAAAACAATTCCTCCATACGTACTTATTCAAAAGTTATTACGGTGTAAATGCAGTAACTTAATTTCAATTGTTATTAAACAAAAAATTGAGTGATATTACACAAGTGTAACCATCTACAACAAGCAGAACATAAATATAAGACAAGGTCCAATAAAAAACAATCATTCATCGGATTTAATTTCAGTCAACTAATATAAAATAATGAGAAGTTGGTAGCTTACGTTTCGAATCGACAAAATTTACACATCACAACATTTGTATTAGGTAGTTTTTCTGTGCACATACGACAGAAATCCCCATGACAATTGACACATCGAATAGCCGGTTGTAAAAGTGGTACAAATAGAGTATTACAATTGTTACATCGACCTTCACCGATAGATTCTGAATTTTTTATACGAGCTTTTTGTTTATCAATCATTTCTTGTCGTAGCTGTCTAAAATTAGAAAAGAAAAAATAGAGAAATGGTACATTCTGCAAAAATAATTTCAAAACATTTGGATAAATTCTTTACTAGGATATAAAGTTTTTTTGAATTATCTTAACTGTATGAGATTTCGGGAGCATATAACAAACATTTTATTCTGGTTTTTGATAGCCTATACATAAATGTAAATAATCACGAAGCATACATTCAGGAAAGCTGACTAAGTCCAACTCTTCAGTTGAAGCTCTCTAAATGAGTCCCTAAATTATATAACTGATCAATGTTTTTACTATTCTTATAATTTCCCCTAATTGAAAAAAATATATTCATTGTCTAAATATTTTTTAGATTTACTTAATGTGCGGTAAAATGAGACTACTTCGACCAAAATGGAATACAGTGTGAATGTTGTCGACGACCGATTCTATCAGAGAATGAAAATAACCAAAGATTCCAGGGTTTTTTATTTATTTGATATTATAGAGTGCATTGGAATGATAGTACACAGTAAATAAATTAATACTAATTATTGATCAATTTAAGTACCCTGAGCGTGAATGTTATCAGTATAAATGATCATATAAATCATCCATATTAACTAGCTTTAAAAAAATAACCACAAAATATAACTATAAATTTCTCTCGAATGGTTTTTTGGTCGGTCCTAATTATTTGAGTTTTAATCGTAGGTGGATAAAACGTTTTGATCCAATAATTAGATAAGCTGAATACGTCATTTAAAACTTTGAACGTTCGTAACATACTCGATAGGGGTGTGGCCCCCTAAGAAAACCACCTGCTTCGGTTTAGGCACCCGGGAAGTATCCCAGCCCTCACACATATCGAATGAGATTTGTGTGGCGCATATGTATCTGGTGCCCCCCTTGTACCAATATCTATGTGTTAAAATAAATAAATATAATAAATAAATAACATACTCGATATCGAGAAGGAATAAATGTTTAGTGTACACCAATCTTCAACTGTCTAGTTGAATAACACTTTAATAAGATATTCTAACACATTAGAATGAGAGTCTTTAAATTAAACTTTAACTATTTCAAGAAGTTTGCCAGTATATCGTTTGTGCTACACACTTATTTAATAAATAGTCTCACCTGTTTAAAGAATGAGATAACTACGTATAACTTACTAAATTAGTTACAATTTAATGAACTGAAGTATCTACGTTGGATTAAACAATGACCACAACACAACACAAGTCGATACAAACTGTGAGTACACTTTAATTGCAATTAAGTAGTATGATTCCATACCGGTTAGTGAGAGTGATATCTTTCAAAACACTGAATGACTAAAGTAATAAACTACTGGTATCGAAAGAACTAGATTTACCAGATGACTAGTATGGCATACAAGTCTAATTACCCAATAGTTTAACATTAAATAATAATATCTCGTTTTATAAAATATATCATCAACTATGGAGCTTTTGTCCTTTCAAAAAAACCCACCATTTTAAAATACATGATTCATATAGAATTCACTGCGTACACTACCGAGACTTTTAGTTTTTAGCATGAAAAAAATGCTTGATCTGCTTTTGCATAACTACAACTTGCGTGGGGTGTTCTAAAAGAAGTCATTTAATGTTGAAGAATGTTAACTATGATATTCAGTTACCTAAATATATAGTAGCGTTTAAACGTGATCGACTGGGTCCGAACATATCTAAGGACTGGATAATGTTACAATAATTGCTTCACAGTAGTCATTAGTTTTAAATTAATTTGAGAATTATTGTGAACAGGCATAAAACTCTAATTCACAGCGTTTTCTAACCACCTATAAAACCAATAGTGATTTTACGCAAACCAAATTATGACTTCAAGTTTGGTCCAGCTTATATGTGTCATTAAAAAAATAAATTAACAGTATCAAGTAATCCTCAACTCATTTTATTTATCAGAATGAGGGTTAATGGAAATTGTGATAATTTTTATAATAGTTGAATTCATGAGTCGATTTAAGCTAGACCACCCTGCATAACCTGGAAGCACTGGACGGCCGTTTTGTCCTAGTAGGAGACTCCTCAGCAGTGTGCATCCGCGATCCCGCACGAGGAATTCGAACCCAAGACCTTCGGTCTCGCGCGTGGACACTTAACACCTAGACCACTGAGCCGGCGCCCAACGGTGTTAATGTCTAACTTCAACCAATCCACGACATTGCGCGACCGTTCACCATTGTCTTCAGTGAGTAAGTGCATCACAACAGATACGGTTGAACTCCACTAGTTATAGCTATTCACTAGCATTTGAGCACGAGACCGAAGGTCCTGTGTTTGAATCCCGTGTGCGGGATCGTGAATGGACACTGCCAAGGAGTCCCATACTAAGACGAATCGGCCATTGAGTGCTTCCAGGTTTTTTAGCGTGGTCTATCTGAAATCGACTCATGAATTCATATTATTTACTTTACAAAAAATGATGGTTGTGGCTGTAAGCGACTTATTCTGTATTTCTTATTTTTCTCCGTTAACAATCTTTGCTAGAAATAAGGTTGTGATTGTCTGTCGTCAATAGTGATTATTCTATGTACTATTTTATTTATTTATTTATTTATTTATTTACAGTTTACTAAATGACATCATCTCCAATGTATACCTAGAGTGATATATATATATATATATATATATATATATATATATATATATAAACATGAAAACAATGTAAAAATCAATGTGCTGTAGTCATATGACTTTATAGATTATCTTGCCAAAAGCAGATGGTTGATCTATACAGAATTCACACTCATCCAAATACACAGAAATATACAATAGATAGAAATGACACTGTATTCTGTAATCACAATAGCTTTATTCTCATAACAAAAAAATATTGTTCGCTAAGGCTGAGTGGATAATATGATATAGAAAATTTGACTAAAATATAAATTCTACTAACTCAAACGTGTAATAAGCGATCATGTCAAAGATTACGAAGAACCTATGATTTAAACTAACCTAAGGTTAAGATTAGTTAAGTATCACATACCATTAAGTTGAACTCAATAAAAATAATATATTCGTAATATCCCAATTAGTAGAAAAATTAAGTTTTCAAATTTTCTGACGTCTTTTGACTCAGTAAAAGCCAATTATTCAGAGAATAGTTAAACAAATTAAATTAACCCAAGTTTAAAAAGCAATAATATTTGGTACGATCGACCAAAAATAAGTATGACCAAGTTAATGACAATGGAGTCAAGGTGATTTATGTAAAGCATGTTTGTATATTTATATGTGTATGTATGTATGATAAAACTCCGCCTGGAGTCCCTCAGGGGGCTACTGCCGGTTCCAAGCCTGGATAAAGGAGGAGGGTTGAGCATGGGGTTAGTGTCCCCATCCCGTAGAAAACTAACTCGCTAAAAAAACGCTAACCAGAAAAAATTATTCAAACCTTTTAAACTCTGCCCTGGGAGTCAGAAGGTCTTCTTTTAGAAGAATTATGACGCCTCATGATGAAAACCGAATTCCTTCGGAAGTTACGAGGCCGACACCCCTTCTCACAATCAGAGCAACCATTTATTCAGGTACATGGAATGTTCGTACAATGTGAGACATCGGGAGAGCCTTCCAAATTGCTGCAGAAATGAGAAGATACAACCTAGAGGGGCTTGGGATCAGTGAAACACATTGGACGCAAGTTGGACAACAACGACTAACTTCAGGAGAGCTTCAGATATACTCCGGCCATGAAGAAGAAAACGCCCCACATACACAAGGAGTTGCATTGATGCTGTCCAAACAAGCGCAAAATGCACTTATAGGATGGGAATCTCATGGACCAAGGATCATCAAAGCCTCCTTCAAAACAAAGAAAGAGGGCATTACAACGAACATCACCCAATGCTATGCGCCTACCAACGACTACAAAGAAGACGCTAAAGATCAATTCTACAATAGGCTGCAGTAAATCATCGAGAAGTGCCCAACAAAGGACCTGACCATTCTGATGGGAGATTTCAATGCCAAAGTTGGAACGGACAACACTGGATATGAAGACATCGTGGAACGACACGGACTGGGAGAAAGGAACGAAAATGGTGAGAGATTTGCAAACCTATGTGGCTTCAATAAACCGGTCATAGGCGGCACAATATTCCCACATAAACGCATACACAAAACCACATGGACTTCACCGGACCACACAACACAAAACCAAATCGACCATCAACAAAAAGTTCAGGAGGATGATGGAAGACGTGAGAACCAAGAGAGGAGCTGATATAGCATCAGATCGTCACTTGCTGGTCGCCAAGATGAAATTGAAACTCAAGAAGTACTGGACAACGGGGCGGACAATATCACAAAAGTTCAATACGGCTTTTCTTCGGGACACTGACAAACTCAACAATAAGTTCCAGGCCTTTCATGATCTACTCAATGGAGAAGGAACTACTATGGAGAGCAATTGGAAGGGGATCAAAGAGGCAATCACTTCAACATTTCATGGGGTCCTGGGCCACAAGAAGCACCATCACAAGGAATGGATCACTGGTGATACACTGGATAAGATTCAAAAAAGGAGGAACAAGAAATCAGCAATCAATACCAGACGAACAAGGGCAGAAACAGCCAAGGCACAAGCTGAATACACACAAGTAAACAAACAAGTGAAGAGGAGCATCAGAACCGACAAACGTAAATATGTGGAAGATTTAGCAACGACGGCGGAAAAGGCTGCAAGGGAAGGAAACATGAGACAACTGTATGACACGACAAAGAAACTCTCTGGGAATCGCCGCAAACCAGAAAGACCAGTGAAAAGCAAGGAAGGCGAGGTAATCACCAACATTGAAGAGCAACGAAACAGGTGGGTAGAACACTTCAAAGAACTCTTGAATCGACCAGCTCCACTGAACCCACCCAACATCGAAGCAGCACCCACGGACCTCCCAATCAATGTTGGCCCACCAACAATTGAAGAAATCAGCATGGCCATCAGACAAATCAAGAGTGGCAAAGCAGCAGGACCAGACAA